ACATAGCCAGTGGATTGGAAGATGCCACGCTTGTATCCATAGCAGTGATGAGTTGAACATCTCCGGGTCTTTTTCAATTCCTTCACTCCATGGCTTTAGTACTAGAAGTTGGTTATCCAGAATGGGTTGGGTTAATTGAGTTATGGATTTTGTTGGGTTGGGTTAGAGATATCCAACTTATTGATTGGACGGATTAGATTTTTATTCGGGTACTGAATACCGAACCTGTTTTAAAAAATTCAAAATAGTAAATACAAGATTCAATACACATGTAAAACCACTTATATTTGGACGTGTTAACGATTCATAGAGCTATTTGTATTCAAAATCCTCATATATACGTTTTCAATCAATTATTTATAAATTTTATTAAAAAGAAAAAAGAATTTTGAAATGAAAGCTCATGCTTATTTTGCTTTTACAATAGTAATTAAACTTGCTCAACTTCTATAATCATTTATTCTGCCTTTTAAAAGTATGTTATTTTCCTCCTTTCTTTTTGGTCGTTGTTCTCCGATTTGTTGGACCGTTGAAGATGAAGTGATATATAATCTCCATTTTGGATTGAAGATGCAATTATAACTTATGAATAACACCATGATCAAATGTTTTATTTTTTCACCAAGAAATTGATTCAGAGCTTGGTGTCAAATTTCCTTTATACTTTTTTTTTCTTCTTTTAACAATAAAACGAAAGAAAAGTGATTTTCTTCCTTTGATTTTGTTTGCAAATTTTAAAGGATAGGTTGCTACTTGCTTCCATTTGTTAATATTTTGCATACAGAGAATAGAATTTTAAATTTGTTCTAATCGCATTCTTTTACTTTTCTCTAGCTTGTTTTATTTCATTGTTAATAGTTCCTCACCAATATTATAATATAACGAATTATATGTCTCTTAATTACATTTTCAAGCATAATATTAGTAGCATTCAATACTTTAAATATATAGAATATTACAGCTTATAATAAAGCAGATATGAATAGTAAAAGTATTAAATAAGTTGTGACAAAAATAAACTTCAATCAATTAGTAGTATTAAAAAATATAAAATAAACAAATTTTTTTAGCTACTCTATCTAAATGTACAATTTATGATCTCAGATTCACAATACAAGCAATATGAAATATTATTTTATTTATGATGTGTTTCCAAAGAGTTTAAGAAATGAGTGTGTGTGAAAATATGTTTACGTATGTGAAAATGTATTTGTGTGTGTAAAAAAATCTTTTTGTGTGTGTAAATGTATGCGAAAGTATTTATGTATCAAAATGTATTAATTACTGTGTTGGATCATATTTGGGTTATGGATTTGAGATGATTTAATACAACCCAACTCAAAATTAACCCAATTTAAAATTGGACGAGTTAGGTATAAGTATAACCCAACATCAACCCGTCCAGAATTCATTCAATCTGCCCAATTGCCAGGTATACGTAGGGGTAGTAAGCTTTTATTGTGTCAAGATATCAATTTTATTCAAATTATTAACAAATAAAATTTAAGAATTTCATTTGCACGAACTTCAATTCAAATCCTTTCGATAATCATGCAATCCCCCATCCACACATTCCACTTGGATTGGACAATTTTTTCATAAACTCGTTTTTCACATATAATGTTACAATAACACACAAATAAAAGTAATTCTAAAAACATCTAATCCATATGACATCTAAAAAATAACTCATAAGTATACAAAAAAATTTTAAAAATTATACTATATTTTTTTCTTCCACTCACAACCACTACGCACCGCCACCACACAATACCATCACACAACGCTACCACCCGCCACCACAACCACCGCCACCTCCTTTCTTCTCCTATTTCTTTTCTCTTTCTCCTCCTCTCTCGCCACTCCCCACCCTTTCCTTCCTTCCATTCCCTAGATTGCGACTAAAAGATGTGACCTTCTGACCACAGCGAAGTTGGAAGGAGGAAGAGAGGGACAGGGGGTAGCGAGACATGGGACAGGAGGAAGGAAAAGTAGGGGAGGAAGGGAGGAGAAGAAAGAAGGGCAAGAAAGAGGGAAAAATAGGAGAGAGGGAGAGGGTGGTGGCAGTGGTAGAAGATAGTGGTGGTGTTATTATTTTTTATTTCTAAAAAATACTCTAAAAATTATAAATTCTAAAACTTTCCCAAAATATATCTTCAAAAATATTTTTAAAAATACTCTCAAAAACACCTAACAATTCACAATAAGAGTTTTTTATATACATTGTTACAGTAAAATTTTTGAAAAAGCACCCTAAAAATGCCTAATTCATATGGTAAAACGTTTTTTTAAAGTTCATTATCCATTTTGATCTATTGTGCCTTATGATTTATTCTTTAAAAGACACTTCACATGGTAGCAACCAAGCACATCAACGAGTAGGGTTTGGATTGGGTCTCTTGGATCCAAATCCATACCTATTAAATTTAATTAGATCCAGATCCAGATCCAGACCCAGATCCTTATGGGTCTGAAAAAATAAGTCCAAATTCAGACTCTTCTAGATCTGAGTATCCAATGAGTATCCGGTATTTTTGTAAATGCATTACAATAAAAATATATTAAAAATATATAGATATCAAAAAAAATATATAAATACCATCCAATCTTTATTTTCAAACAATAAAATTAATATTCAAGAAGTTGAATGCAATATTATGAACTCAAAAAAATTACTACTATCAATTGCTTCTATTTATTTTAAAACTTCAGCTGTATTTACGTCAAAACTTTCATTTATTTGTCTTTACTTTTTCTTCTTTTTATGAAAAAGTTTGTACTAATTACAATGATAGCTAGGATTAGGTTGAAAAATGAAAACAATCATGAAATCTTACTGTATTCAATCCAATCATAGAATATTAGAATATTTTATAAATTTGCTAATATATAGGCGTGTATATATATAATTTAATTATATATACATGAGTTTGGGTAAGATATGGTATGTATTTAAATTTGGATATGAATCATAGAAAATCAGACCTATATAGACCCATAACTTTTCTACGGGGTCTGGATTTGGGTTTAAGAAATTAAATTCAAATTTTACCCAATTACATTGGATTTGAATTGAATTTGGATAAGATCTCCGTTGACATGCCTAGTAGCAACGAGCCTTCCACCCCATGAGTTAATTTTTTTTAAAAAAAAACTATCAACCGATGTGAGATATATGACGCTCCTTACATCACCACAAGCCTCATAAATAGCCTAATCATTGTCGAGTACACAGGAATCCTAACCAATGACACAAACCACCTAAAAAAATGGGATAATTGCAGTAACCTCCATTGAAGTTTCTGATACTAGCACTCACCTCCCTTGTGGTCTTAGAAAATAATACTTACCATCCTTGAATTTAAGGTTTGTGTTGCAGATTCAGTCCATACCAGAAAAGTTACCATTAAATTTTTTTTTAAGGATTGAGATGAGAAATTTGTACCAAATTTGCCCTTCATACTACTTGCCAAGTTGTATTAACAAAGGAATGACAAAATATGAAAAGCTATTAAGAATTAGCAAAATTCAAGGGGTGTAAGTGCAATTGAATGAAGTTTACCAACAATACATGAAGCAACGATGGATACTAACGACTAATTAAATGACTATACATCTAGGTTCTTACAGCAAAATTTATAAAGTATAAAAGTCACTTTTAAAATTCTCTATTAGTAATATGAATAGTTATTTGTAGGGGTAACACAATTGTTTATGTTGTCAACACCAATCATGTACAAAAAAAAATATCATTGAACAATCATCTAATTTACAGCATACTTAAGCATCACTAAAAGTTACTGATCATGAGATAAGTCTAGTTACAAGTAATTAGAAGTACATACTATAAGATAAAGTTGTCTATAGTAAATGAAAACTGCAGTAAGTACATTAGAATCACGTACTAAAATAGCTACTGCTATTGATATTTCCAGATTATAGGGTTATAACTGTATTTATGGAAAGAGATGTAATAACTTGAGAAGTAGTAGTGGATTTTGAAATAGAAATAACTTGAGCAGATATATTTATACAAGTTCTCTTTATACTCAATTTAGTAGGAACTCCAGAATTGCTTACTGACCTTCCTCTCTGCAGTTGTATAAAATTAGACTTAAATTGACTGATTTAAAGAACATAATATAGAAACATGTACACCATTTTCTTCCCTCAATTGGCACAATTCCTTAGTTTTGATTACAATGGCTAATGATGCTAAAACTCACAAGTAATGTAATTTAATTAGTCACTCAATTCGTTGACAAAAAATAATTTTTCTTTCCTAAAATTCTTTCATTAAGTTTCTGCAATTAGTTAGGGTATAAAAGTATAATCATACAATTTATTGTTAGTAATCATAGGGGAGGTGAGTGCTAGTGTTAGAAACCTTAGGGGAGGTTTCTGCAATTATCCCAAAAAAGGTCATAAATTATGGTACGGTTCCCTGGTTGCATATTAATAATGATGGCCCCATGATGTTTGTACGTCGGACCTGTCACATTCATGAATCATATTGATGTTTGTCTTGTCCAATTTTTGGTTTCTAATGTTTGGCCTTTTTTGTTATAAATTAAATTTAAAAAAATTCATTTGCTTGTCGTAGGCGAGAAAAATCGTGGCCAGTTATTTTACTTATTTAATGGTTATATTAAATTTAACAGGTTGTAAAGAAACTGTACCATTTTCACTTATACACTGTTAATCAAAAGTATGCAGCAATTTGATGATAGCTACGTCTTCAGAATCTTAGCATGTAAATGCTTTCAATAGGTGAAGCTGCATAAGGGGCTTCCTAGGTAGAAATCTGTAGGCCTGAATTGGGATGCTTTATATTATTTTTGTCTTCAAGTTTCCGATTTCATCTGCATTCAAGATCATGCATACATCTTAGTGGGCTGCTGTTGTGTGTGCAGGGAAATCCCAGCTGTTATTACTTGTAAGTGCTACATTAAAGAAAATCTCAGCAACAGGAGGCGGAGAAATTGAGGTAATCCATTTGACGGTTGAAGATTAGCCAAGTTATGGATTAATTGCTGTTTGTCCGGAAGAATGTTGCTTTTCTCTTTTCTTCAGGTTTTTAAGATGTAGTATGTTCTATATGTATTCTTTTCTTTAAGTTGGACACAGAGTTGGGGTAAGAATTGATGAGTTGGTTCAGATGCTCAGCTATGGTCTCACATTTAGCCGCAAGGACTTTTATCATGGTGAATATATATATATATATAGAAAGTCTTGTTTTCGAGAATATAGAATTCTTACAGCGTGCTTATGCTGAATCAGGCATATGATCGGCTGGTGTTTAAATGTTTTCTCATTCTCCTTAACTTGTGCAGTAAATCATTTAGAGGCTTGGCAGCAGAATGACTTTTAAATAGTGTAATGGCCTTTGTGAAGGTTGGCAGCCTGAGCTTCTCTGCTGCCAGGTGGGCGGAGTTCCGCCCCATCAGGATCAGGGAAAGAGTCTAGCATCAAGCATTAACAATGAAATTAGATGATATATCAAGCATCTGGCGGATTTTAGTTGCGACATAGTTAGCATGAACTAGTTGCTTAGGTGGTTCTGCATATAAAGATTTCTGCTTTCCTTTAGCATGAACTAGTTGCTCAGGTGGTTCTGCATATAAAGATTTCTGCTTTCCTTTACTTCCTATATGCAGTACAAACTTTGATTTTAGGTTTCACTTGGGTGTACTTTCGACCTGAAACCTTTGTGCTTAATATACACGGTTGATACTTCAACAAGAAAAACAGGATCAAAGCTACTGTTTGCCAGCTGCAGGTTCTGCAAATCTGTGACTTGTACATTATGCCATTCTCTTCATACCACTAACGTTCAATTGTTTGGTTCTTTAGATGGCAGATCAGAGCATCAGCTATACTCCAGAAGATGCAATTTCTGGGATGGGATTCGGGAAATTCCAAGGGCTCCTTCTAGTTTATGCTGGACTTGGTTGGATTTCTGAGGCAATGGAAATGATGATTCTGTCTTTTGTTGGAGTAGCTGTTCAATCTGAGTGGGGACTCTCTCCTGCTGAAGAAAGCTTGATAACATCCGTGGTCTTTGCTGGCATGCTAGCTGGATGTTACTTTTGGGGCATTATATCCGATGCATATGGAAGAAGGTAGTCCTCTAACTTCTTTTCATCTTACTATAGGATCCCTCACAAGTGACAAGTCCAGTTACAAGTGTCTCTGATGTTTCATCGAAAGTAACTCAGTTGCAGTTTGATTTTAGCTTGACTTATGCGTAATAGAAATTTGCCTTGATAGTTCTTAACTATAGGGAAATTATGTAATTTGTACTAATTACTGAGTTTCCAATAATAATTAAATATTCATGTGTTTTTAGCTGCTGCAGCAGATGACAAAACTCTTTCTATACACCTTACATATCTAGAACAGTTCTTAGTTGAGGTTAAACTACACGATAAATGAATTTTGTTTAACAAATGGTGAGAAACATATTGGATGCTCTTGCTTAGATTTCAGTAAGCATAAAATCTACTCCTGTACCATTGATGTGGTTTTGGCTCTCTAATTGGGATATGACTCATAAATTATATGTTGGACTAAAACCGAAAAAAAAGCATTCGACATTTTCTGTGACATGAAGTAAACTAATCTTAGTGAAGCTTCTGCAGATCTCATTGCTTAGTAAAAATATTTCCAGGTAGGTAGAATAACTCTGGTCCATACAATTTTGAATCTTTTAAAAAATGACTGCAAAAGATTGTTTAGGGTGGGAAGTACATTACTTATAACTAAACATGTCATGAGGGTGAAATCCTCCAGTTTAAAGGAATATAACTATAAAAAAGAATAAAACATTTGGGAACCAGTTGAGCTGATCTGTGAGCAAATGCACCGGTTCATCAAGACAGTTCGATTACCAAAATGATCAGACTAGTCAATAGCACCATCAGGATAAACCGGATGGAGGAAACCAAATAAATGCAGGAACTCAGTACATCTCCTCTGGAGGCCAGTGTCAGATCAGTAAATCAGAACCTCAAAAATGATTAGGCAGAAATACAAATTACCATGTAATATGGCGGACTTCTTGGATCAAAAGCTAAACTTACTGTTTATATTAATTCTGCACCACAGGAAACTACATTGAAGAGGATGAGGGATTTAGTATTTTAGTACATATCTTCTGTGCCAAGTCTTGGTATTATGGTGTAATTCTTATCTCTACGTTAATGGGATCCTTCATACATAAAGTGCATTTTCACAGACAACATTTCTTTGGATGCAGAAAGTGTCCTTAATCATTTTCATACCACGAAGGACCACCAAATCCAGTAAATATGTTTATACTTGAAAACAGTTCTTCATTTCTTGGTAAATTATTTTGAATTACTACCTAGCAATTTCAGTGTAGATAGTCCAGTTTCCATTAACATAATGGACAGCGCAATGATGTACTTTCCTCTTATTTTCTTTTGATTCTTGTCTGCAATTTATTCCACACTTTTTTTGGTATTTCCATGTAAAGGAAACCAAAAACACATTACCAAGGAATATTTAGACCAAAAATTTGGCTCCTCTGGTGTTTGCAGATCATATTCATGCCAAACAAGAAGTCCTGAACTAAACGTCGATTACCAAAAAGTGCTAGAACCATCTTTAAACTATCTAGCTGAATCATTCATAGCCAAACATGTATTAAATTCTTGAAATTCTGACTTCTTTCTCACTGATGCTGGAAGTTTGAAGATGGATATCCAATTGCATTAAATTCCGGTCAAAACAGATTGGATTAGTTGTACTCTACCTCCATAAGAGGGCATCTTTGCTTTCCTTCATTGCATAATATTGCATTCTAAGCATTAGTGAGTGTTCACCTCTCTGTCTCTTGATCTTTAACTTCTTTTTAACCTTTTACAGGAAAGGCTTTATTGGTACAACAACAGTGGTGACTGTAGCTGGAATTTGTAGCTCTTTGGCTCCAAGTTATATTTTATTTTTGGCATCGCGTTGTTTGCTTGGATTTGGTGTAGGAGGTGGCCTAGTGTTTGCAGCATGGTTTCTGGAGTTCATTCCTATAGCTAATAGAGGTGCTTGGATATTCGCACTTACAGCTTTCTGGTCATCTGGATCTGTGGTCGAGGCTTTACTTGCATGGGTATGTATTATATCTTTTGGTGAGCCAATTGTTTTGTCATATAAGTTTCAAATGCACTTCTTAGTTTTGATGTCTCTGTTGAAAGAAGAAAAGTTAGTATCTTTGCATGGTTATCAGCACAGCAGTTAATTTCAGCAGTCAAAGCATAAGAACTCCCTGTTTTTAAGGAATGAACAACTGTAAACTATTCTGCTTTAACATACTAAAAACCATTAAATTTCTCACTTGTATGCAGATTATCATGCCAAGATTTGGTTGGAGATGGCTACTAGCTTTATCTTGTTTACCATCATTGTTTGTACTTCTCCTTTCTGGCTTTACACCTGAGTCACCAAGGTATCTATGTGTGAAAGGAAAAATGGAGGAATCTCAGAAGATATTGGAAAAAGTAGCAACCATGAACAAGACAAAACTTCCCCCTGGAGTCCTTGTCTTAGATCGAACAAGAAACATAGACGAAGAACACTGTCCATTATTGGATACTTCTCTTCTCCCCTCAGCAAGAGAAAAGAAGCGTACCTCAGGAATTTGCCTATCATCATTCTTCATGATATTCTCATCAAAACTATGGAAAACAACTCTTCTCCTATGGTTTCTATACTTTGCGAGTACTTTTTCATACTATGGTATCGTATTATTGATCTCTGAGCTAAGTAGTAAACATAGTAATTGTGGTTTGATCAAAAACTTTTTGAAGAGTACCGAGGATTCTAGCCTCTATAGAGATGTATTTATCACATCTTTTGCAGGTGATGCTCTCTTTATGTTTTTATCATACATTTGCTCCTTAGAATTTGAACGACATTGAAAACTAGTCCTGTCCATCATAATACCTGTTTTCTGAATAACAAGATTTCCTCTCTTTCCAGATTTAGCTGGGCTAGCAGTGTCTGCAGTTGTTGTTGACAGATTAGGCCGAAAGCTCACCGTGAAGATTTTCTTGGCACTGGGTTTTATTTTGCTTCTACCACTGGTTGTGCATCACAATGAGATTGTGACCACAGCTCTATTGTTTGGCTCGCGCATGTCTGTTATGTCAGGATACAGTGTCATTGTTGTCTACTCAAGGGAGGTAAACCTCAATGCTTTGTCTTCTTTATGGTTCTCATTTCTTTCTCAATCAAGATGCTGCAGACCGAACTTGTTTCGGGCCTTTCTAATCAACACATTATCTATCAGAAATTTGACATCTGTCAGTTCAGTACGTGAAGCTAGAAGTACAAGAAGAGTAACATGAAATGCCTTACAAATGAACAGAAGGTTCATTCTGGAATTCAGTAACTTATAATCTGAAGAATTAAGGACAACAAGAAAGAAACTTTGACAAATAGAATGGTTCAAATGCTTAGAAGCCAAGCATATTCCCCCACTTGATGTCACACTTTCGTTACACCTTCTTAAGCACAGGAAAGATATATTTTCTAGTTACTAATTTTGCTGAGGCAAGCGTCATTTCTTCTCGAATGAAACTGAATCATCTACAAGAATTCAACACAGAAGTGAAGAATTGTGTCTCAGCCTCTTGTGAAGCCTAGAGAAACTTTGCTTCGTTTTGGCCAGTTGAGCTTTGAAGCAAAGGTTAGGAGCAGATCTCTATGTACAAAATATGATCCTTACAACCTGTTTATATTTTACAGGTATATCCAACTTCAGTGAGGGCAACTGGTGTTGGAAGTGCAACAGCTATTGGACGAATTGGTGGAATAATATGCCCTCTTGTAGCAGTTGGTTTAGTCAGGGATTGCCATCAAACAGCAGCAATACTTCTGTTTGAGGCTGTGATAGTTCTCACAGGATTCTGCACTCTTTTCCTACCTTCAGAGACCAGCGGAAAAGCCTTGACTGACGTTACAAGCCTGTCCAATGAGGAGCAGATTACACCTGATTAGGGCATGTATGGTTCCCTTTAAGTGCAATTAGGTGCTGTTGTTGTTGTTATTGTTTCTCTTTCAAGCTACGATATACACTTAGAAGCATAATTGTATCAATATAGTATTACATTGGTGTAAATTAATAAGATTCTCTTTGGTCGATTATTTTAGCTAATTATAAATCCTGATTTTGAATAGCCAATTGTTGTAATCCCCCCGGGCCCGGCCTGGCCCTCTTCCAAATTTTTTTTTTTCTAATTTCCTTCACTCTTTTTATCTTCTCGATCGCTTTTTTATCTCACATATATTACATCGCAAAAAGTGCTCTAATAATTATTTCAAATAAATCATCCAAATAAACTCTTATCCAAACAAACTCAATATATTTTAAAGGATCAGTTAATTAGTTGTCTCACTCTATGACTTTGTCCATGGTTTTCAAGAAATTGTTTCCCCTTTGCACATTATTGGTTCTTTTGTCCCAACCTTTTTATGAATTTTTTTTTTAAAATTTACATCTCTAACAATGTAAACCGAAAAGTTTACTCAATTATGAACTAAAGTTTGTCATAAAAATAAAAATCGTAAATAAGATGATGTTACTCAACAAAATAGTAAATTGGATTAAATTTCTATTCATTTCTTGTTTCATGTATGCCAAGGATCTTAATTAATCACATTCGCAAGCTTATTAACTGACCTAACAGTGCTTCATATCTGCAAGACAATGCTGAAAGAAGCCACAAAAGTTTTCGTTGGTAAATAGGTAGGAACCATTGGTTTCGTGGTTCCTGAGCTAAGTTCGCCAATGACTTCGTGAATCTTTGTCAATGACACAAAAATAATTGAACAACCAAACAGTTTCTTTGTCAACCATGCCAGGCACTCTTATGCCCCGTGTGAATGGTGCAGCGGTAGCGCCTCTCATCGGTAACCCTTAAGATCCCAAGTTCGAGTCTCCGTTCCGCTGAGTTCCTCTGCGCACTTATCGCGTTCGGGTAGGATTGGGGTGCCGGGCCCGAGCCGCAGGAAATTAATCGGACCCCGTAAAGATTGACCCGAACACCCCTGTGCCGACAAAAAAAATTTTTTTTAAAAATGCCAGGCACTCTTATGTATATTCTTCGGCTTGCGTGTAGAAAGAGACTTGGCACCAAAGATAGGAATACTTCTTGGGGCATCGAAGTGGATCCTGCTTGTGGGCTCTGTTCCTCGGACCAAGTGCAGGAATGGCCAGTTCAACTGTTCTGGAACAACATAAAACTGTTTAAATAAATTATAATTCTTTTTTAAACTGCTTGTATAATCTTTTAATAGAAGTGTCTCGTGCATAGTAATTACTTGTCTGTTATGAAGTTTACTCGTTTACGTAGAATTACAAATTGCTCGAAGAGTGCTACAATGTTCAAAAATGGTTCTAACGACAGCCTTTGGGCTGGTGACCACCACCAATGCATTAAAGCTTGGCCACAATTAAATGTGACCTTACTTAAAAAAATCCGAACGGGCGTCGGTCTCTTTCAAATTATCCCAAGACATCTTCAGACCCTCCCTTCCCTATAGTGCAGGAAGCTATCGTATCGAATTAAAAAAAAAAAAAAAAAGAGACAACCGTTCCTACACCTCTAGCTTATTCCTCTACTTTCGAATCTGTTTCCCGTTCATTCTTCCCCTGGTCCTATTTGATCAGCTATTAGTATTTGGGAGACTGTTCAAAGCATTTACTTGCTGGTTGGTGTTCAGAAAAATGTTTACGTTAATTGACTTCATGAATCATGATCCAAACTCACCCATCAAATTACACTCTTGTTATTATACTACTCATCTAATCGACACATCTCAAATCTAATGATAAATAAAAAGCCAAGTTTGGGAAGTCTTTAAATTTTCGGACACTTATCATTTTAAGAAATCGTGTAACAAAAGATTCCAAGTCAGATTTTCTTTCAGTTGAAGATTGGCCATGTTATGGATTGATCCCCGTTGTCTGTGGATCTTACATTTCTCTCTTCTTCGGTCTTTTATGGTCGTAGTTTGTTCTACACGTATTCTTTTCTGCTAATTGAACACAAAGATGGAAAGATTGATGAGTTGGTTTTCACGCATAGATAACAGCTAAAATCAAACTAGTCTAGACGATCATACAAATTCACTGGAAAAGAGTATGAAAAGAAAACGAGACAGCAGAAAAACGTCCCAATGCTTTTTCCCCTTTTCTTTTTCTTTTTTTGGTTATTCTTTAATACACATGAAGACATTATAACATGTGTTAATTCATTTCAATACAATGAATGTCTTTTTTTTATCAGATTCTTGCTTTGCCATGCTGGTGAATCCAAAATCCTCTCATGGCATCAGAATGTACTTGAAGTGCTAGTCAGCTGGAAGGGTTTTCAATTTCTTGTTGTTTCATTTTTCTAATTGTACAATAATTTGATTGCACAAGTGAGATGCATATTTTTTTTGGTCAAAATAGCTTAGAAAGGAAGAAATCTTATTTTATTTCAAGGACAGGATGGGCTACTTGAGTATTTTTTTTTTTATAAATTATCTATCAATGATAAACTGATGATGACGGGCTCGAATTCGACAATTGTAAGGTGAACGAATCTGACCAGTTGAATTATATCGACTAAGTGAAATATGTACGATACTATCGCAATGATTTTACCTTTTTGTCTTTCAATTGTATATCTCTTGATCAAATTGAATTGCCCAACTGATAAAAAAAAAATGAATTCCACTAATTAATATAAGTCAAATTGGCTGTTGTAATTAAAGAAGCGAGGGACTGATTTGATACAAGTTATATGCTGTCCAATACACTAATCCTAACTAAAGACAGAAACCACCTATAAAAAGAAAATGGACAAAATTCATGGTACTTTTTTCTGATTATATATGAATGATGGCCCCCGTGAATTTTGTAAGTCAAGACTTGTCATTGCTCATGAATGATACTGATTACTGATATTATGTTTTTCTTCGAAACGTTAGGCCTTATAATTATGATCTCGAATTAACTTTGTTATCTGGCTTTGAGTTGGCAACCGATGCTACATTGACACAAACAAACAAGAAAAGAATAATTGATTCTATTGTCTAAGGTGAGAAAAATCATGGATTATTTTTCGACATCAAAGGGTTATTTTAAATTTACAAAGTTCTACAGATTTAAGTATTTTAAAAGATCAGTTTAACTTCTCATACTCTCTGATCATTTCGTCTGTAGCAATGAAGGAGTTGTTGTTCCTTACACACTACAACTGGTCAAATGAGTCTCGATTGAAACTTTCAAGCAATTGGATTATGCAGCAATCTGATGATGGCGACCTCTTCAGTATCTGGTCATGCAAACGCTTTCAGTAGGTGGAGCTGCAAAAAGGGCCATCCTACAAATTGAAGTAGAATTCTGGAGGCCTGAATTGTGATGTTTTATAAGTAGTACTTTTATCTTTACGTTATTGAATTCCATCTAGTATTGAATGATCATGCATATATATTAGTGGGATTGCAGTTGTAAGTTGTGAGGAATCCCAGGTTTCGCAGTTTGCAACTGCTACATTAAAGAAAATCTCAACAACAATAGGCGGAGAAATTGAGGTAATGCTTTTGCATGTTGAGGATTAGCCAAGTTATGGATTTGTCCCTGTTGATCGGGAGCATGGTACATTTATAATTCTGCTCGTATTCTTTTCTGCGAATTGATTAAAGAATGATGATTCTTACCTTTAGTTTACTAGGATTTTTGCCATGGTGAATATGTACATGAAGTCATATGCTTAACCACATGGCATTCTTGTACTACATGATAAATACTTGGTAGGTTGAACTGCTTTGCCAGGGTTTTGTTTAAATTGCAACTAGCGAATCAGCACTAGAAGCTGCTGATTACTAGGTTTTCACGTTTTTTCATCCTTCTTAACCTGTACGATAAATCATTCATAGACTTGCCAGCAGAAAGCCTGCAAGATTTTTAAATAATGGGATCGCTTTTGTGAGGGTAGACAGCCTGAGCTTCTCTGCTGTTTGGTGGGTGCGAGCACCATCTGGATTAGTGAAAGAGTCTAGAAATCAAGCACCAAATATGGGATTAAATGGTCTGTTAAGCATCTGGTGAATTTTTAGTTGCAACATGGTCAGCGTGAACTAATTGTTTAGGTGGTTATGCATATAACGATTACGGCTTTGGAGTAGTTTGGCACCCTTGGAAGGGTGATTCTTACTATCCTTTCATTCATTTTATGCAACAGAAACATTGAATTTAGTGTATCACTTGGGTGTTGATATGACCTCAAACCTGAGTAGTACATCTACATGGTTTATAGTTTAACTAGAAAAAGGGGATTGAAACTCTTGTTCTCGAGTTCTTGGCTCTGCCTTATCTGACTAGTAAATCTTGCTGTTCTCTTCGTATCACTAATTATCTTTTCTTTGGTTCTTTAGATGGGGGATCAGAGCATTGGCTGTACTCCAGAGGAAGCAATTTCTGTGATCGGATTTGGGAAGTTCCAGGGGCTCATACTGGTTTTTGCTGGACTTGGTTGGATTTCAGAGGCAATGGAAATGATGATTCTCTCGTTCGTTGGAGTAGCAGTCCAATCTGAGTGGGGACTCTCTCCTGCTGAAGAAAGCTTGATAACATCTGTGGTTTTTGCTGGTATGCTAGTTGGATGTTCCTTTTGGGGCATCATATCTGATGCATATGGAAGAAGGTAGTTTTGTATAATTCTTTTCACAATTTCAGATACAAGTGTCTCTGATGTTTGACGGAAAGCGACACATGTTGCAACTTGCTTCTTGCTTAACTTATGAGTAATAGTTGTATTAATGGATATCTGCCTCAATATTTCTTCAATACAAGGAAAATTATCTAAAATTTGTTGAACTAATTTCTGAGTTCCCACCAATAATTGCAATGTGCCGGTGTTTTCAGCTGTTGCAACAGCTGACAAAACTCCTCCTACACACTTTTTTGGGGTAGGATCCTTCTACACACTTTACATATCTGGAAACATTTCTAATTGAGGTGAAATTACAGAAGAGTTGATTTTGTTTAACAAGTGATGAGAAACCTATTAGATGCTCTTGCTCAGAACTGAAACACAGACTTCAGTAAAGCATGGGAGCTACTGCTGTACCATAGATGTTAGTGTTGGTTCTCAACTTGGGATGAATTCATGAATTTAATTTCTGTTCGACTAAAGCCCAAAGAAAACAGAAGAAATCAACAATGTTGTGGTTGTGAAGTCAACAAATCCTGGTGAAGCTTCTGCAGATTTCATTTCTTACTAAATGCAAATTTCCTTATAGGTAGAAGAACTCTGGTACAAAGAATATCCAATTTCTCATTAATAACTGTAGAAGATTGTATTAAGGAAGGAAATACAGTTTTTCCAACTAAAATATATCATAAGGGTGACAGCCACCAGTTTAAAGGAGAATACCTACAAAATAAAATGCACATATTGGAACCAGTTGAGCTGATCTGAGACTAAACGCATTGGTTCACCAAGACAACAGAAATAGTATGTCAGAACTGCTGAAAGCAGCATCAGGATAAACCAGATGGAGGAGTTAAAAAATGCTAGACATGGATCAGGACATGTCCTGCAGTGGCCAGTTTCTGATTAGTTGATTACAACCTCAAATAACAATTAGGCACAGATTTGGAAAGTATATAAAATTACCTTGTAGTAAGGCGAATTTTGTGGATCAAAAGCTAAACTTACTGTTTATACTGATTCAACACCACAGGAAAACACTTTATAGAGTATGAGGGATTGTATCACATATCGTCTTGTGCCTAGTATTGTTCTTGTGGTGCAATTCTTATCTGTTATTTAATGGGGTTCTTCAAAACATAAAGTGGATTTTCATAGACACAGCATTCCTTTGGAAGCACAAAGTGTTCCTAATCTTTTTTTTTTTTTTGGCTGCATTCAAGAGAGAAGCTGATGGCAACACATACTTCATGAAGGACCACAAAATCCCCTAAATATGTTTTGGCATGTGAAACTTATTTCATCATTTCCTGTAACTTATTTTAAAGTATTCATATTGCAAATCAAATGCAGATGGGACAGAGTTCCCATTAACATACTGCAACAGTGCACCAATGTGCTTTTCTCTTATTTTCAGTTGATTATTGTCTTCAATTCAGTCTGCAGTTTGATTATTAGTATTTCCATTTGAAGGGAATCAAAACTACATTACTAAGGAATATGGAGTCAAAATTTTGGCTTCTCTGGTGTTTCTATATCACATCCGTCCTAAACAAAGCGTCCTAAAGTAATGATGTGATTTAGCAAAAGTACCACAACCTTCTTCAAGGTATCTAGCTGAATCATGCTTAGCCAAACATGTGTGAAATTCCTAGCTTTCTGGCTTTAGGTGCTTTCCTTTCTTTGCACAGTATGGCATTTCTTCTCCTTCACTTCAGTTTATGGTCTTTCTGATCATTAATGGATTCTCGCTCTCTCTCTCTCTCTCCCACCTTTCACAGGAAAGCCTTTATTGGTACAATGATAGTAGTGGCTGTTGCTGGAATCTGTAGCTCTTTATCCCCAAGTTATAAGTTATTTTTGGTATCTCGTTGTATGCTTGGTTTTGGTGTAGGAGGGGGCCAAGTATTTGCCGCATGGTTTATGGAGTTCATTCCCACAGCTAATAGAGGTGTTTGGGTAATCGCACTTACAAGTTTCTGGTCCCTTGGATCAGTACTTGAAGCTTTACTTGCATGGGTATATATTGCATCTTTTGCTAAAGCTTATTTTTGTTACATAGTTTGTTTTCCTCTTAGTTTCAATTGCACTTCTGAGTTCTAATTTCACTGTTGAAAGAAGAAAGTAGCTATCTTTGGGTGGCCATTGAAATTATTAATTAGTGCATGTTGTTTATTTTAGCTCCCAAAGCATAAAAACTCCCTTTTTTCCAGGAATGAAGAATTTTTCAATTGTTCTGCTTTAACATACATATTACTCCCATTAAAGTTCTCCCTCCTTGCTTGCAGATCATCATGCCAAGATTTGGTTGGAGATGGCTAATAGGTTTATCTTGATTACCATCTTTCATTGTACTCCTCCTTTCTGGGATTGCACCTGAGTCGCCGAGGTATCTCTGTGTGAAAGGAAAAATGGAGGAAGCCCAGAAGATATTGGCAAAAGCAGCAGCCATGAACAAGACAATACTTCCTCCTGGAATGCTTATCTTAGATCGAACAGCAAAGATAGATGAACATTATCCGTTATTAGATACTTCTCTTCTGTCTTCAGCAAGAGAAAGGAAGTGCAGCCCAGAAAATTACTTATCATCATTGTTTATGATATTCTCATCAAAACTAAGGAAGACAACTCTTCTCCTATGGTTTCTATACTTCTCTAATACATTTTCATACTACGGAATTGTATTATTGACATCTGAGCTGAGTAGTAACCAAATCAATTGTAGTTCAACCGTTAACTTTTTGAAGAGTGCAAAGGATGCTAGCCTCTACAGAGATGTATTTATCACATCTCTTGCAGGTGACATTCTGGAATTCGTTTTTATCCTACATTTGCTCCTTAGAATTTGAACAACATTAAGAACTAACGCTGTTGCCCGTCCATTATAATACCTGTATTGTGATTTGTGAATATGCTTACATCGTAATGACATTTCCTTCTTTTTTTTTTTCCCAGATTTAGCCGGGCTTGTTATATCTGCAGCAATTCTTGACAGATTAGGCCGGAAGCTCACCATGAAGATTTTATGTTCTTTGGGTTTTATTCTGCTTCTACCACTGGTTGTGCATCAGAATGAGATTCTGACAACAGCTCTATTATTTGGCTCTCGCATGTTTGTTATGTCATCATCCAATGCTGTTGTTATATACTCAAGGGAGGTAAACATCAAAACCTTTTTCTTCTTCACATTGCTGATTCTTTTTGTTGCTTCATATGCAGCAGACTGGACTTGAGACTAAGCCTTCATTTGCAAACATTATCTATCAAAAATTTGACTTCTGTTGCTTAAATGAAGATAAATGAAGGAGAGTAATATCAAATACATTATAAGTGAACAGCAGATATTTCATGAAATTCAATAACTCATAATCTGCAGAAACAAGGACAAAGAAATAATGAACTTTGACCAGAAGTTTATTTCCTAGTTTTGAATTTTACTAACAAGAACCCTTCCTTCTTGAATGGAGCTGAATTATCTACAAGAAGTTGAAGCAGAGAAAAAGAATTGTGTCTCAGCTTCTCGTAGCACACTAGCACCTAGAAAAAACAAAAAAAGTAACTTCACTTGAGTTTAGCTCGGCCTAACGTAAAGAAAAAGGGCTCTAGTAAGTTCTTCTTACTTCCACAACTTTCATCCCTTAGTTTGGGCCACTTTGACCTGGAAGCAAAGGTTAGAAAATAGATCTCAACGAACAGAAAATGACACTTAAAATCTGTTTGCATTTTACAGGTTTATCCAACTTCAGTGAGGGCAACTGGTGTTGGAAGTGCAACATCTATTGGAAGGATTGGTGGAATGATATGCCCTCTTGTAGCGGTTGGTTTAGTCAGGGATTGCCATCAAACAGCAGCAATTGTTCTTTTTGAGGCTGTGATACTTCTCACAGGATTCTGTATGCTTTTCTTACCTATAGAGACTGGTGGAAAAGGATTGAGTGACACCACAAGCTTGTTGAATGAGGAGTAGATTATCCTTTGCCATGGCTGCAAGAGTTCATGATATCACAAAAGATTGGTAAATGCACCACTTGTATACCTGCTGGCAACAGACATTGATGGAAGAAAAAGATGACAATTTTTTCCCTCATCATGAATGATGGATTCCGAAGTTGAGCACAATCCAAATTGACTTCCACCCTAGCTTTTATTGTTCTCTGTTAAAATCCCATGTTGGTAAGACATGTATTTGTTCCATTTTTCATCACCTAATAAACACGCATTACAATTTGCTTTGCCTATTTTGTTTAGGAATTTGATCTGAAAGATAGATTATGTCTGCAGTTGACTGTAACATTCTGTCTTTAGAATTTCAGTGATCTTTCACCTTATTCTTGCGAAAAGCAATTCGCTAAAATGTCCTCACAAGTTTGAAAAGAAGCTTGCTATTCATAATTTTTGCTAAAAACACTTTCCATACTTATTTTTCTAAAATTGTAGACACTAAAACAGTTATGGACACTAACCACTACATATATTTGAGTCATGATACAATTTTTCTGGGATTAATTGTAATTTGCACCCCTGTATTATCATTATTTTGCAGTTTTCATTGCTCGATTGTTGAAAATCGATGAAACCCTATGACAATTTTTATATGAAAAGACATCATACATTTAAAAGAGGGAGAAAGGTGCTCAAAAAAAAAAAAAAAAGAGGGAGAAAAGATTGAAGAAGTCTAACCTCTCCTCCCACCTTTGCAGCCGATCAATAGAGGAACTTGGCTGCAAATGAAAGACAAGAAGAGGTAGAAATAGAGAGTTGAATTACTACTGATGATGAATGCTGTGGGATTTTTAAACGAGATTTTTATCATGAAAACTATTCTATTTGATAATAGTTAATAGTTACAAGTTAGAACAGGTTGCTAACCTTTTATTAATAAGGTAGCGCAATATGGTGAACCATCATTGTAGAGTGGATCATCGACAACGTAGGGAGAATTTACTCTTTAAAAATTATTAAAACTTTCAAGGGTTAATTTTCATTTCACCCTTAAATGCTGATCAATAATACAAGGTAAAAAGTGCTATATTTGACATTATGAAGAGCAAACTAGAAATTAATGACAGTTTAAGTAGGAGATTAGAGTTAGAAATTTTAGCCTAGTTTCTAGTGTAAAGGTAATTGTAGATGATATGATTGCTCCTAATTGAATTTTGAATTTATTTGCAATAATCACACATACTATTTGGCTGAGTGTTGCCTAGTTAGGACGGAGTTAAGTTGTTTTTTTTTTTTTTAAAATAAAGTTAATTTTAAAGAATGCTTAAATAGTGAAAAAGAATTAATATTGATGTATGCATTCACATGGCATGTATTTTATGCCTACTATCCTTACACATAATCAAGGTACTTAAGAGGCTTAAATACCATTATCATTACTATATAAGAGGTATGATGAGTCTTGGGAATAGGGAGTGTAAATGTAAACATATTTTGATCTTAGTTTTTGTTATGCCTAAATTATCCTCATATTTTTTAATTAGAGTTATTGCATTTCAACCATGACACTGATACAAAAAAAAAAATGAAAAGTTTCAAGAAATTACATCTCAAAAATGTTGGTAATTAAAATTAAAGGCTGTCCATATACAACTATATTCACCAATCATTTTCATTATCTCCAATCATTGCATGTGTTAAAATTATCTCCAATTATTATATTCTTATGCATAATAATTAAAGTTAACTATAATTTATATACATATTGGTTTAGAAGAAAATCATGACATTAATAAGAAGACAAAACATTATAAAAAATTAATGAGAAAATAAAAGGTTAAATTAATGATTAACTTCACTATAATATGTCATATTGACTAAGAAAACTTCAAAAAAATTATGGATAATTATTAAAAAAAATAACAGAAAAGGTTTACAGCTACTTAAATTGAACAAAATTTGTTGTATCCAAATCATAATGTTTTAGTACGTATTTTGTTCAGGTTTTGTTGTATATACTAGTTTGACACAACATAGAAGATTTCCTCCCCTTATTACCACAATCCAAGAAAAATATGCAACAACTTAGTTTAGATATGATAATCTTCCATTTTGAGAGTTCAATAAACTTTTAATTGCTTTGTATATAATAAACATTTTCTACATGTAACAGTTGCTTGATTTTGTTTTATTATATGGTTTCTTAGTCAATATTATACTAACAACTTAGTTTAAATATAATAATCTTCCATTTTCAGAAATTTTTTAACTGTAAAATGCACAATAAACATTTTGTACAATTATCAGTTATTTAATTTTGTTCATTATATAGTTCTTTAGTTTATATTATGCTAATAATCATAGTTTTGTACATAAATTTAAGGGTTAATAAAATAAAAATATGTTCTTTTTTTAATGCAACATGGCCTCAATAAGGGCATTTTAGGCATTAAGGGGGTTTTTGTTAAATGTTTGATCATTCAAAGGGTGAGACCGTTATTTGGACAAATTACAGGGATTGATTGGTAATATGATCAAATTACAGGGAGATAAATGTAATTAACCCTAAATTTAAAATATAGGATATCTTGAAAAAATATATCCACACGCAAAACACATGAGTTATTACTAGTGGTAGTGATAAAAGGATAAGATTGAGACTCTGACAACTAGCTAGAAATAACTAGTAAATTTTAAAGTCTCGCAAATCAAAAGTTCCAGTCTTTCCAATTACTATTATTTCGTGATGGAAACAATTGTTTTGTACATAAGTAGTTATTACTATAAACCTATTCTATTTAACGAGACTTGATTCTTTTTTTATCATCAATTCAAGTTTCCATAAAATTGTACCATATTTAATGTGAGGATATTTTAGGAAAATACAATCTAAATTTACTTTTCCAACAAAGTTAACTACTTTTTCTTAAACTGTGTGAAAAAAGAAACAGAACTATCAAAATGGGACGGAGAGAGTACATTATTTTACAAAAATTTCAAAACTAGCAACTTTTTCAACGAAAAAATCAGAATTAAATTACTAATCCTGAATTTCAGGTTTGCCTCAAAAGCCAGCCGTCAAGTTCAAAACGAGCAACTCCCGTGATAGCAATCAATGACTTTCGTTGGTTTCGTGCCATTCGTTAGAAAGTTCTGGGTCCCAAGGCAGTGAATGACTATGATTTTTTTTGTTTTTTGTTTTTTTGTCTATGATGAATATTCTGCTCCAAAAAAGTCTCGTACTCCTTATGGGCCTATGACTCCCTGACTCTATTGCCCAATCATACAAACATTTGGCAAAGTACAAGTGGACAACCTGTAAGAGAAGGCCAGCTCCTGATCCTTGTTCAATCTATGTATTCAAGAACAAATTTGCTACGAAAGCATTAGAATCAGAATTGACTGATCAATTGTTAATTTGCCTTCTTCTTTTTCCATCCATTTGTCAAGAAGGGTGAGCCAAAATCCTGAAAGTTGTTCTTCCACATGCAATTGAATTGAGATGCTCTTCAACAAAAATTGCTACTCTTGGCTTTTCTTGGTCAACCCATTAGAGAGCTGAGACCATCCTCTCCAAGATTCATTCTTTATCGGTTTATTGAGGAAGGGAGGGAATTTTTTTTTTTTTTGGGAACTTCAAGTAAGAGATTTATTAGGGTTCAAGAGACTCGAGTCAAGAACATTGATTTTTAAGTTTAAGTGGGATTTATTTCAGCTGCTTTTTTTTCTCCTGGTAATAGCCTCTATCGATGCATCCGCAGTTCGATCTTTTATTTCCTCCCTTAATGGTTCCAGTAGAACGAACAATCTATTACTTCTGGTGATGTTCAGGAGCTCTGTAACATGTCCTGTGTAATGGCTTCTGTTAGATATTTTTAGGTGGATGTATCATGAATATTGAAACTGTTGCATTGGAATCCTAGTAGACAAGTACATATTATCTTTCTAAAGCCATTGTTCAGTTCATGAATCGTTAAGGTCAAAGAGGCTATTGAACAAATTAATATTGACAACTGAATCAGCTGTTTAGGTCAGAAAATATGCTTTTGAAGGACTTGATTGAACTTCTGCTTTCTTGTCTTTGTAGGATTCTATATTTGCTATTTAAACCAGTTTAAAATGTGAAGCTTCCTCCTTTCTTCTGTATAGTTACAGATTTATCTCTTTTCAGGTGTTGTGGAGGATTATTACTTGAAAAGAATTTGAGGCTACGTAAATTGTCTCTCTCATTACTTCTATTATTGCTTCTAATCTTTACAGGCTTAGTGCAGTTTTTGGAGGCCCGTTCCTGATTGCTAAGTGGTGTTGCATGCAGCAAAAAATAAATTTTTCACGGTAAAGAAGTTGCAACTTTGATGATGCTTTTGGAGTCTTCTTTTCGTAGTTTTCACCTAGCCTGAAATTGTCACTTCTTAAAATTGTGTCTATTTTGTTATTGTTTTACTTTGAATTGTAAAAGCTTTACAGTACATGGAGGAATTCCAGACTAGTACCACAGATACTGAAGTAACACAGTGGAGCTTCCATTTTTTTCTTCTTCCTGAAATCTCGTTCCAACTTCCAAGCATATTTTTACAGAAAAATAGTTTGAGTTCCAAGTGCAGATTGCCAGTGCTTTGGGTAGCCAGCCCAAATTGTAAGATCATAAACCAAGCTCAAGTTGTAGATCTTTAAGTCAAGCGACTGACGGTTTAACTCATCAACAGCTTGAACTTTTGTTGCTGACTTGCAGCACCTTTTTCCGGCCCTCAGGTGTTAAAGAGTAACAGAAATGATGCCTTAAATATTGTCATTGTAAAGGGCAAAAAGTCATCAGCTTGAAATGTGCATGAGTGGTATCAAATTTTTCAAAATGTGTTGCAACATTTTAGGGTACAGTTTCAAGCTCAAGTATGCGGCACTGGACCTCTGTATACACACTGAAATACTGTAACAACATAATGCATTCATATAACATACATTTCAGCAGCTAAGTTTACTGATTCTTAAGCACTGAAAGAAAAGCTAGCCTAGCTTTGCATGCAGCAACGAAAAATTCTCAATTTGTTTCTTCCTCTTGCCGAGTGTACTGCTGATATTCTATGCCAATTGGCTTTTAGATGGGAGATCCAAGCTCTGTACATACGGTGGATGAAGCCCTTTCGACTATTGGTTTCGGAAATTTCCAGACGGTTTTGCTTCTTTATGGTGCACTTGGATGGGTTGCAGAAGCAATGGAATTGATGATTCTCTCCTTCATTGGACCTGTACTTCAGTCTGAATGGAGACTCTCTTCTAGTAAAGAAAGCCTCATATCAACAGTTGTTTTTGCTGGCATGTTGATTGGCGCATATTTGTGGGGTCATATATCAGACAACTGGGGAAGAAAGTAGGCATTCTTTACTCCCCTCCCTATCTCTTCCAGTCTCAAAATTTTATACTACGTCTGAGCTTCATTCCTGAAGTGATAGGATTTCTGTTCCTTTATATTCTTTTCTTTTTTGGCAAAGCATTTAGTCTTCCAATAGTGGTTGACTTAATACCAACAATTCGCAGTGTGCTATAGATCTTGCAATGTACTGTTTGTTGTAAACTTTGATTTTGTTCACTTCCTTCGGCTTTGCTTGCCTTTTCTACCATTTCTAGGAAGGGATTTCTTGGGGCAGCTATACTTAGTGCCGGTGCTGGACTGTTGAGCGCTTTCTCACCAAATTACATAACATTCGTCACTTGTCGATTTTTTGCTGGGATTGGTTTAGCAGCTGGATACTTATTTACATCATGGTTCTTAGAGTTTGTCCCTACTTCAAACAGAGGTTCTTGGATGATGGTTTTCTCAAGTTTCTGGACAGTTGGAACAATATTTGAAGCGTCTCTTGCATGGGTGTGCCTATATTTCTAAATTCTTTTAGTCAAATGCTTTTTCTCTTTTGTTGTTTACCTTCTTACGTTCTATCTGTTTGAGGTTAAACATAATGATTTTCTATATTCTACTTGCTGTGACAAGCTTAGATTGGGTGAAATGTATTATACTCTCCTTCTAACCTTACAACCTATAACCACCAAGGAATTGTTCTCTCCTTGCAAGATTGAGAAGGTTAGTGGGAGAAGTTTTCTTCCCAGTATCCTGATTTTACATTAGGAGGGAAACTTGACCTAAATCTAACAAAGGTGCCTAAGCTTCAAAGTACTTGATTTGCTAATGTCCAATGCTCCTTGAATCCTATCTATGGCCACAAGTATTACACGGCTCAAAAAAGAAAAGAAAGGGAGGGCAATGCATGATCTCTGAATAAATAAAAACGACCTTTAGAATATAGACTTCCCCCTTCATCAGTTGTGGATTAATCAGGCTTTACAGTATTAAAGTTCTGATGTGTATTCACCTCCTTTCTTGCAGATTGTCATGCCAAGATGGGGATGGAGGTGGCTACTTGTGCTGTCTTCTGTGCCATATTTTCTTGTGCTTCTGTTTTACAAATGTGTACCCGAGTCTCCACGGTATCTAAGTGCAAAAGGTAGACTGAAAGAAGCACATGAAATTTTGGAGAAAGCAGCACAGCTTAACGGAATGGAACTTCCCTCTGATACCCTTGTTTCTGATCAAGTCAAGAACTTGGATGAAGGATTGTCTCTTGTGGGAGAGACACAGTTGCTTTCCTCTTCGCAGAACGAACTACTTGAACCTAGAAATAGATGCCGGCCGCCAACCCTACTATCACTCTTTTCACAAAAATATATCAGAACAACTCTTCTACTGTGGTTTTTATATTTTGCAAACACATTCTCATATTATGGCGTTATATTGCTGACTTCTCAGCTCAGCTCCATGGTAAATAAATGCGGATCAATCACCTTCCTTTCAGTGGGAAGCTAGGATTCTCGCCTTTATATAAATGTCTTTCTTACAAGTTTGGCAGGTAGAAATTTTGATTTTACCACAAATTTTTTATGATTAGCTTAATAGCTGGCAATTGGTGGTTATCATGACTTGAAGTTGTTCTGTTCTTCAGAGGTTCCTGGACTTGTTTTAGCAGCATTTATAGTGGACAGAGTTGGTCGCAAAGTCTCCATGGTGATCATGTTTACTCTAGGTTTCATACTCCTACTTCCACTAGTAGTCCAACAAAATGGAGTATTGACTACAGCTCTGTTATTTGGAGCACGCATGTTTGTTTCAGCTACCTTTGAAGTTGCTTGTGTTTATGCCCCAGAGGTAAGTCTTTGGCCTGCCTCCCTCTGTAAACATGCATATTTATTCAATTTGAAGTCTCTCTGTCCCCTTGAATGTTCTGCTAAGCACAGTAAGAAACACACAAGCAAATCAAATCTCCTTTCAGGGCGCTCTTATTCTTGATTTCATATCAGTAATATTTCATTGTGAGAGGCATGGCATGGTGATGATACCTGATATGACGAGTCCTCGACTCCTCGTTTCGCAGAAGGGTGCATTGAAACAAGTATTTGGTAGTGATTTTGCATGGATCTATGTGAGATTTTGATATAAAGTTTGTCATTCATACATTTTGTTAATACCCTTCTTGTCAATCTATGCTGTTCTTGGCCATTGCAACATAACACTACAATCCTGGGTAGTTCTTGTTAATAGTTGGGTGGTTCTAATTGCCATCTTTTCACATCCTGGTTATTATTGTTTACAATCCTTCTTTGTTGGCAGGTATATCCTACTGATATCAGAGCAAGTGCCGTCGGGCTTACAACTTCTATAGGAAGAATTGGTGGCATGCTATGCCCTCTTGTTGCCGTTGCGTTGGTCAGTGATTGCCATCAAACAGCAGCAGTCATTCTGATCTTGGCAATGATATTTCTTTCAGCAGTCTCTGTCGCATTTTTGCCATTTGAAACAGGGGGAAGAGACTTGTCTGAGTCTGTGCATCAGCCCGTAGTTGAATAGATGGCCGAACTCTTTGAGAGTGTGTGGTATTGTAGCCTCAATAAATTTTCATTTTGGCAAAATATGTTTTTCTTAGTTGCCATCAATAAGTCCCTGTTGTCCGTTATCTCCCTGTGCTCCTATTACTTCAGACTTGGAAGTAGTTTAGGATCTTGGATCCCTGTTTGTTCTTGTCTTTCTATACTACCATAACGTTGAGACTTGAAAGCAGTTCAGAATTCATACGTCTGCAGTACTTTTCCTTCTCAAACAGGGTAAATGTTCTTATTCCTGGTACAAAATCCTCACTGCCCAGCTACGAGGACACCACCAAACCCCAACCCCCCTCCCCCCCTTTCTCCAAAAAACAACAAAACCGAAAAAAAAAGAGCAAATTTTCTGTTATCATTTGAGCATACAACAGAAGAACATATAAGAAGCGCTATCATAGAAAGAAGAAAGTTCAAAATTTTGCAGTGACTGTTATTAAAAAATCATTATCTAATCTTACAAAGATTATACACGTTTCAGATGCTCTTAAAAGCAGATGCGCATCACCTTGCGGCCTCTGCTCTACTGCAATTGGTTTCTCCCTGATCTCTTATAGTGTGTAGACACTTCTAAGCCTGGCTAAAAGTACGCAAGGAAAAATGAAAGTACAAGAAAAGCCTATACTCTCAATCCCACCTGGTGTAGTAGAGCAATCCCTCTCTGAGAAATACAATGTTAAGATACATCCTAGAAAGCTCAGTTGATCTTGGGCTTTGGTCTTCTTGGTCTTAAAATGACCCAGAGTACGACAAGGACGATCAAAAAAGCAGGAACGGTTGTCACGTCAAATTCAACCTTAACTTCCCTCTGCCTTGTGCAATGAATTGGGTGGAGAGTGGCAAGACTTGAATTTACGTAATCGGCAAAACTGCAGGAGGAGGAATATCATATTCAGTGAACATGAACGAGAGAGGAGAAAATCTAAATGTGCGACGTTCTGGTGAAAACTCTTAACCTCCTTTGTATAAATCCATTAGGTGTCAAAAACTTTTGCTAGCTTAGAAAGAGAAAAAGTTTATAACAGTGACATCTATGTGTTCAGTGAATTCCTTCCATAGCAGCAGCCCATTTCCTCCCTCAAGCAAATCTCAATTTCAAAAGCTGAAATGTATGTACTCAAACAACCATTCACAGTTTATCATTAAGACGTTCAACATCAATGCTCACCCTTTTGATGCGTCCTCCAGTGTATTAAGTAGTCCCATGGCATTGTCATACCGTAGTTCTGCAGTGACGGTTGAAATCTGAAAAAAAAAAAAAAATTATGTGTAACTTTGAGAAAGCAGTTCTACGGTCCTAAATACTTGGCTTTGAGAAAACTAGAAATAGAATTGATGATATTGCTGAATTAAATTGCATGGCACATACTCTTCTCCATAGGCTAACAACATAGTTATATTTGTTCACCAACTCACGTTCCATAGATTGAAAGGCCTTGAAAGTCTGTTCCGCTGGTTGCTTGTTAAGTGTTCAACAAATTGGGTAACTGATAATACAGGAATCTTTCACACTAAAAATAAGGAAAAAGTTATTGAGAAGAATTCCAGGGCTTCTGCTTGTTGTCAAGTTCCAAAATGCCCATTCTGACACGAAAATGAAGAAAAAAGAACCTGCAAACTTTAGCCACCAGTCCCGTATTGCAATAATAAGACATCAGTGTTGCAGGAGGAAAAATTTTTTTTCAATAAATTCTCTGAAGGCATGGCAGGCAATACTCACAAAGCTTATTGCCAGGCAGATCTTAATGAATGAATTTATTTTGTTGGATTAATCTGAACTAAACATTACCATGAAGAAAGGATACATGTACGCTCGACAACAAGAAGCTGGATTGCAGAATTAACAATTTGTATCGACTCCTCAAGAGTTGTGAGTATATAGCTCCGAGCAATGGTATCAGACTGGAACTTAGAAATATGCCAACCTTGAGAGGTGATGGATAAAGGATTGCAACCTACTGACCAAATCCAGTCCTGTGGCAGAAAAGGAAACATGTGAATACAGGTTGTCTTATTATTCTCGGCTCCAACATTAAAATCCATGGGTCATGGAAAAAAGGTCTCCTTAAAAGTAGTTTTATTTTCTTTCCACTTCTTAAAGACGAAATCTAATTGATGCTTGCACAGCCAAATTACTTTTATTGAGCACAAGGATATAAAACATTCGATATTTGGAAACGTCAATCGCCTAATGCAAATAAACATGTAAACACAAGTAGGCAGTAGAGGTTAACAACCATTAGGCAAAAATCAAACTCAAACAAAGGTAAGAATTTCAGATAGCAGCAAGAGCTTCAAAGCAATTCGACTTCAAAAATCATATTATAATCTGAATCAAGTTCCTTGTTCATCACTGACAATTTTAAGTCCTCTTAACTGTTCATATGTGACAGAAAAAGTTTATCCCCTAGCAAAAAAGAGTGAATATGCAGGATTCTTCAACCAAATACTGGGCTTAGAAGAGCTTCAGCATTCCATAAATTTTTATGGATCTTCATCACAAAATAAATATAGATGCTATGGTTCACCTCTGTTATTCCAGACAACAATTTCATTATGCAAAATTTTAAAAAAATTTATTTCTCGGAAAATGTGTTCCTAAGTTCTTAGTCATTCAAGTGACACAACTAGTATCTTAACTGCACGGCTATTTGTTACACAAAATTTTATAGCAGGAAAATGAACTACATGGCAACATTCAATATAGTGACGCGCAACTTGATTACTAACTGAAAATTTTGCCAAATCATGGGACTTTGAGAAAACAGCGTATTGTGAATGTTACATTTGGAAGGCTATTTTATGTAATGACAGAGAAAAAGAAATAAGCATTGGGAATCAGGTCATCAGAACATTACAACACATTATTTTCATTCACCAGACACTGAAAACTCTCATGTTTTAACTCATTAAGTTAGCCAAAATACTGCCATCCTGAATAAACGATACAATACTAAAAGATAAAATTATGAAGAGTATATCAGGATCTTCTGACAAACTAGTTGCAAGTCACAGTTCCAAGTGATGTGATGGTATTGTCAGGTTATTTCTTAAAAAATAACCTCAAACATTGCCAAAAGCTTCAACATTGGCACAACCAAAAAATCATGAAGAAGCAATTGACTTAAAGTGGTTTCTTTAGTCGTTTCTTTACATAATGATCAAACAATAACATGAAAATTTGGAGGTTTAAATGCATCAGTGGCGGCAGCTGGCATGGAGATGGGCAAACCCAATAAGATTTCCATGGAAGGCATTGGAAAATGAAGACCACACACTCAGTTCACTACCAAAATAGGATAGTAGAGCATTGAACAGAGAGCAAGCATATCTCATATACAAGATACAGGTAAGACCAACCATTAAGTGGAGACCCAAACTTCAAAGCACATGTGACATACCTCCACTGCAGTTTCATGTGCTTGACTATATACAAGATGAAGAGGAAGTAACCCAGCCAAATGTTCAGCAACAGATGCCATTGCAGCTTTTATGGGCCTCCTGTCAATTACAGGTACAAACATAGGTCCTGTTAGCATCTGTGCAGAAACTAGCCAGCATTTTGCTCAGTGAGAAAAGGCAATGAAACTAATATTGGAGTTTTCTTCTTTTCCAGAGTCTCTAATTAGAATCAAAGCTCTTAAGGGTTGTGCTTTTAACAATTTCGAGATCAACATTTAAAGCCAAGAGAACTTTTATGTATTCAACAATCTTTTATTGTCAAAAACCATGCTCAACAAAAAGGTGTCTCAAGCTATACACCTAGTGGTCTCTTTACACAGATCAAGGGCATTTTCCTCATTTTTTTTAAATGAGTTGAAGTTAAAACTTTTAAGCAAAACATATCATGACACCTGACCCATGCACTTAAGTTCAAAATACAATGGTGGTAAAAATGAAGCTAGTACATGTTCTTTGTGCAACTTTAACTTATAGCAGCTTTTCAGAGGAAACCTGTTGAATTTATGAAATAGCTTCTTAGTATCACTTTCTGCAAGAACTTCAAAGAGCACAAACTATTTTTCTTTGGAGAATCTGAAAGAGTGTGGAAGATAGTCCTGTACTGTATGATGATCTACAAAATGCTTAATCAAAGATTGTTAACACATGGCAAGAACTAAAGAAAGTCAAAGCAAGAGATGAGCTTATGCCAATTTGCTTCAACAGCTGACTTTATATCACAGAAATAGAAAGCAAGGAAGAGCTAGCATTTCAACCCGAGTTGAACAAGCAAAGCAATCATTGATGAGGGAAGATCTCAGGATAGTTTGAGATGACCGGAAAGTAAGACTGATGCTTCTGCTAGCAAGAACAGTGAACAAGCTGCAATTGTGATGATATTACGAAACAGTTAAAGCACGCAATTGCTGGCAAGAGGAGAACCTCATTTACTGAATACTTCTTTGTTTATAGTTGAAGATAAAGAGAGAGGAAAGTTTTACTGACGGTTTTGACAAAATAATATGGTTGAAATGATATGTGAAATTGACTTCAACTCTAGTTAACTAGACTTCTATTCAACGGCTAAACTTAACACAGTATTCAAAAATTGAGGAACAAAGTTTTTCAGAACATATCAAAATGACCTATTCACGTAAGCACTCCAGGAAAGAATTTTAATTGCAGTTATAACTGCCTTAACCTTGAGATAACATCATAACAATAATATGTCAATAATCAACAGCAAGGGCTATATAATTTACCTCAAGTCCAATAGAAGGGACTGTCCATTGCATTGTAGGTGGCTTTCCAATGATGATTCTTCTGACTGAACAACAATTACCATATCAGAAAGTGCCTTTGCCTGGTAATATTTGTCAACCAACACTGGATCACCATGGATAAACCAAAAAATGGGAACCTCCAGTGTGGACCTGCTATGTGCATGTGAACCTGCATCACCAAAGTTATTTCACTTAAAACTCACCCATCCTAGAACAGGTCATGAATTGGGTGTTCAGCAAAAGCTCAAATCTTATACTTCTTTCCTTTTGTTAAGACAACCAGAACTCAAACATAACAAGTTCCGCTGCTGCAGCTAAGAAACACCCCCATGGAACAGTTGACCCCGGGATGCAGTAAAGATCTTTGTCTCCACATTATGGAAGTATCCATTTGAATTGAGGGACTTAGGCAGACATGAACATGAAATCCTCAGCTCAATTCCCCTCAAATGTTAGGACGACTTAGCAGAGATATGGAATTGACATCACCT